GCCTAATGCAGTAAGTTTGAAAATAAAGAAAAAACATTTTAAATATAACATATTAATAATGTGGTGATATGGTAATATGCCAAATGAATTCTTTCGATTATTCCCAACACTACACAATAGAGTCCTAGGAACCAAATGATGTGATTCATTTCCTTGTTTGCTGCTTGAACACCAACTGACAATCAAATAGTTGATCCTGTGTGGTTTCATTTTAAAATACATTTTAAATTTGATTTTTGAGATTTTTCGCAGAACCCCTACAAGGCTTTTGCAAAACCCTAGGATACTGCGGAACACAGTTTGGGAACTGCTGCTGTAGAGGCTTGCTATAATAAGAGTTCAGGGAGTTCAGTACTTTAAAGGTCTTATTCCAAGCCTAAAGAGATACATGATATAACCTCTTTTATTCAAATGCTTTGATACAACCAAGGACACCCATAAACAGGAGTTGTAAATGTGCAACTACACATTTTTGTACATCAGGACTCCTGTATCCATGGGAATAGGTTCCAAGCTGCACAGTGAATGCCTGAAAGTGTGGATAATACTGAACACTATATGTACTATATATTGTATATATACATTTCTTTTTTCACAATTTCGGGGACAGAAGATTCATTCTTACCATCCAACCTCAGCATGTGATGTTCTCCCTATCTTTTTCTTTTCCTATTAATTCAAGAATTTTCACTTAAAGGAAGCACTTTACTATTTCTCTTTGGCAATTTACCACATTTTATGACTTCTCTTTTGGACCAAGGTAAACTGTGGTTAAGTGAAAACATGGTATCTGAGCCACTGGATGGATGGGTCCTGCTGTAAAGCAAGAATGGCGACAAAAGGGTCACTGTTCAGATATGATTGATCTTTCCTGGGTCTGGTTTCTGAAAAATGGGTTAAGTCCCACTGAACACAATGGTACTTACTTCCAAGAAAAATGCCTATGTTTGCAAGCTCTGGTTTTATCAGCTTCTCTTATTTCACAGCTATAGACATGTTTTCCAAATTTATTTCATTTTATACTGCCCAATAACTAAGGCTCTCTGGGTGGTTAACAAAAGTTAAAAACACATGAACAACAAAAATTAACAGTAAACAACAAAACCACAGCAATTGCAACTGAGTCAGCACAGAAGGATAATGGTGGCACAGGATAAATGCAACATTAAAACTAAAGTTAAAAAGATAAACTGGTAAAATGCTGGGATTCACCTGGCACCGAAAAGAATAAAAAGTAGGGACCAGGCACACCTCTTTGGGGAGCTCAGGGTGCAATAACTGAAAAGGCCCTTCTCCTAGATAGCCATCTGCCTCACTTCTTTTGGAGGGGGCTCCCAGAGAAGGCCCCCTGAAGATAGCTGAATAAAATGTGTAGCTGCTTGTAGAAACCATAATAGTATTCAGAAAAATGAGCAAATGTGTTTTCCAAATAAGCCAAAACTGATATAATGATATTGAGATGTATACCTCAGTGATTAAAGTCATCCCATTTTTTGCTGAAGAAACAATATGAATATTGAGAATTATTATTTGACAAGGAATAGTGGCTGTAAAAGAGTGTACCAAGTGAACACTAGCCAAGTCACTTCAAATAAGAGACATATTCCAATATATTTCAACATTACTAAATACCATGAAAACGTCTATCTTGTGTTTGACAGCTGCAGCTCACAGGAAAGTATCATATGAATAGCCCTAAGAAGTAGGATTGTTCTACAGTCCCTCTGACAGGAAAGCACAAGTGCAAAGGTTGTTGCTGCTATGCAAACAAGCTTTACAATAGGGTGCACAGCATCTTAGGACAGAAATTAGAGTAAATTAAGCAGAAATGTTAGGGCTTAAGCTTACACCCTGAAGTAGCTTTAAAACAAAAATAATAGATTCAGATCCAATGACTTGAGCTCAGAACATAAAATTGATTTATATATATAGCGATTAATATCCTGCCTTTTTCCTACAAAGGGCTCAAGGCAGCTTACATCATCTCTCCTCCTCCATCTTATCCCCACAATAACAACCCTGTGAGGTAGGTTGGGCTGAGAGTCTGTGACTGGCCCAAAGTCACCCAGTTGGCTCCATGGCTCAGCAGGGACTCGAACCCAGATCCTCTGAGTCCCAGTCCCATGCTCTTAACCACTACACCACACTGGCTCTCAGTGACACTATCTATGTCATTTGCAGTTACGCAAACCTTACAACTGCTTTTTAGTGAATACTGTGCTTAGCAGTTTTAGGAAACAAAACTGAATTTCTGCACTGACATGTAGGATTTGCCTCCACTTAAGATGGTTCCAATTCAAGCACAGGCAAGAACAATGCTCATTCAGCATATTTCTAGAAACCAATATGGAACTGTAGTAAACATTATGTGTCTTTGCCAATAGATGCTGATGAATGCCACCTTGGAATACTCAGTACTGCTCAATTATACCTCTTTTCTGGTATCAGAAATGAGTAAATTATAAGAAAAAAGTAGTACTGAAAAGGATTCCATTATGACCACTGAACCAAAAATAGTGCCCTTTTCATTGTATGCCTCTTCCAGCTAAAGGCCTCTGCTAATTAAAGATGATGAAATAAAGATAAGGAACAACTTTTTTCCCCAATGAAAATACAGGCATAGACACCCACAGTTCTAAATTTAAATGTAATCAGGGCAACAGTACTCTATTAATGTTACAGATCCACCTGCAATCTGGCACTTTACAAACTGACATCACTGTAAACAGCATTTTAGCTCATCAGTATTACCCACATGCATACTCTGTTACCAATCAACCCAGTGAGGCTTAGTTTGCAAGCTCTGACTATGTGTGTTAAGATTCAAATTCAGGGCACAAAGTTATGCATATTTAGACAAAAGAAGTCAGTACAACAGCCACAGATGATAGTTAGGCATGCCGGGAGTTGTAGGCTTTTTTTCCCTATACACTGTGCCCTTAAGGTGTAATCCTGTGTTTAGACAGAAAAAGGTCATACAATCAGAATAGTCATAATCCCTATGACTAGTCAGAATAGGATTATACCCTTAAGGTGCTGGCTAGGGAACGCTAGGAGTTGTTGGTTTTTTTCTGCCTAAACATGCAGAGGATTGTTGCATCCTAAATCCTTAAGTTTAAATCAATGGGAACCTGGTAACGACTAGTTAACTCCCACTAATGTGGGATTTGGCTTTATCCAGATCTGGAGAACGTTAATTTTATATATTGTGCTACAACCTAAATATTTCTAAAACAAACACACTTCAAACTGCTAGAAATATTAAATGTTTTTCAATTTTGAACTAGAACCATCCATAAACAATCTATTTAAGAATTTGTCTAGTCTAGAACTTCTGTAATCATATTGGAGAATTATATATGTGGGCAGTCCCCAAAGATTTCTAAACCTGATGAGCCTAGCTATAAAGGAAATACTTCAAGTAGAGGAGTCTAGGTAAAGGAGTGGACAGCAAATGATTAAACTCACTGAAACTCAAGGCAATGGACTGAAGAAGTGTCCAACTTTGAGCAGTTCTCTAAATGACAAGTTTGGGTCCTAGGCTGAAGTCCATGACAATTCATAACTGAATTACTTAATTAACTTGGGCACAATATAACCTTTAGCTTTGCAGGTTGTATCAGGAGCAAAAGTACACAAAGAATAACCAAGTTTTATCTAGTATGTCAATAAATTCAGAGCTTTGACAATGCAACAATTGTTCTGCTAAGCATATTTTCCCCTCCTGAATCTAAGCCTGTTTCAAAAATCTTCAATTAATGACAATGACTATACTGGTTTGCACATATCCACAACAAAATTTCCAGCTAAGTTTATCTGTCTTGAAGTCAAAGACAGAATGGATCTCAACAGTCTTACCAGATTGCCAGTTTTACTGCAAACTTTGCAGTCAAACCAATGTTACAAAAGGAGACTGCCTCTTGTGCATTATGTACTCTATCACTGAAAATTTCTCTTTACAATTTCTTTGACAGAAGAAATTTTCATAAGAGTCCTTCCATTTAAAGTGTTGTTATTATTACTATTATTATTTAGGCCAAGCCAGTTATTCTTTGAGTTCAGTTCAGCAAATATACAGTGTTCTTCTGCCAAGATTCACCAGGCATACTGAACTCCCACCTTTTAATGCAACACTACATTCAACAATACTAAAATGTCATATACTTTATCTAAAAGTAGTGCAATTTTCTTTAACACCTATGCAATCAGCACTCAAGCACCATATTTGCAGGCAGATAACCCTCTTTCTTTCAGGAAAAAAAGAATGAACAGGTTCTTTCAAATAATCCAAGAATTTGTCATTGAATAGAAATACAAAACAGATTTCAAAGATGTGAACTGTAGGTCATCCAATCCATTCTTTATCAGAGGAACAAACCCATTCATTTCTATGGTATATTTACTGGTGATCTACTTCTAATTGTTAGCCCATTTTATGTCCAATAACATTTGCTGGATGTTCAATTCTCCCTTGCATTGTGAAAATATCAGTGTAAGGGGCTTAGAGAAAGCAACCCACATGCAGAAAGGGAGATCCCAAATTTAAACAGGAATCAATGTTTATTCTAGGCAAGACTGAATGTGAGCTTCTCTATTGATAACATTCTTCATACCAACTTGAAAAATATCTGTTTAAAGATGTCGAGCTGCCAGACAATGAGTGTCATAACAGTACAACAGAGGATACCCTACCCTAGAGATGATGTCAAGTTATCATTTGAAGGAATTTCAAAGGTTAGCACAGTCTGACTGTGTAGGACTTCATCACAACTGCAAACATTCATGTCTACATTAAAACGCTGCAGAATTTTCAGAAAGAACATTCACATGTTATTTTTTAACCATCTATTTAGTAACCTGCATTAGCATGCTCATGTATCTTATAAGATAGAAGCAAAATAGACCCCACTGTGTATAATTAAATTTAACACTGGCTATTTTGAAGGCATTCAATTACAGTAAATGATACAGCATACCAATAAACAATAAAATGCACTCACATTTTCAGTATCGCGTTCATTCACCGTAGGCAATGGAGTTCTAGTGGACATTTTCATTCACTTGTGCTGAAGCACGGTTTGTGATGGCAAAATCTGGCTATATATTATATAAAAATAAAAAAAAATCCTAACACCCTTCTCTCCCCAAATACTTATATATATATTTACAAAAAGGGTATGATTTTACTGCATGATAGTGGTTATGAAGTACCACCATCAAGAAAAAGGGAGTGTGGGGAGGGAAATGTGGGTGATTACCACCACCACCACGACCCCACTTTCTCATCTATATTCCAGTCTGATAATGGAGCACTGTGGGCCCCTCGGATTCTTCAAGGATCATCCTATAGACAGATTAGGATCCTTAGAAGGTGGTGGTAGCGGATTAAAGAGGAGAGGGATTCTCATGGAGTGCGAAAGGGAGTGGGGGTGGGGAGAGAGAGGTGTGCGCGTGTTAGCCGGGGCTGGGATTAGGGGGGCAGGGAGGAAGGCGAGAAGAAACTAGCAGCTTGAGAGGGCGAGAAGGAGCGAGCTGCGGCTGGGGAGGGGTGCTGGGCGCTGCAGCAGCAGTCCGAGTAAGAGGCTTCCGAAGGAGTAAGTCGCGGGGGTTAGCGCCCGCTTTCTGCACCTCCTCGGTCCTCTCTCAGGCACTCCGTCGAAGAAGCAGCAAAGGGCCACTGAAGAGCTGCTCGAGGGAGGGCTCCTGATCCCCTCAGGCGCCCCCTCTCCTTCTCCCCCTCCCCAGACCCGCTTCACCGAGCCGCAGCTCTCATGTTTTAATCGCGCCCTCTCCTTTTCCTCCTTCTCCAGCTGAAGTCCCAGTTCCTCTCGCCTTCGCCGCCGCCACCCTCCTACCCCAAAAGGGCAGGCTCAGGCCAAGCAGGGGGGGTGGGGGGACGGCCCTTCCGCCGCAGGCCCCTCCGCGGGGTCTTGTGGAGCCCCGGGCCTCGCTCTGCTTGTGTGGAGGAGCGGGAGGAGGCGGAGGAGACGACGACCAGGCGCGCTCCCTCTTTCCCCCGCTTAGGCGGCGGCGGAGGCAGCAGCAGCAATGCCCCCGCCGCTCCCGGATGATTCAAGATGGCCGCCCGGCTTCCTCTGCTCCGACATGAACCGGAAGAGACCACCCCCTGCACCGAGACAAGCCGCTTGTTGGGGCTGCGGGGAGAGAGAAGGGGGGAGGTAGAGGGCGCAGGCGCGTGCTCGGGCCCCCCCTGTTGCTAAGGTACCCTGGCAGGGGTGGGGGCGGGGCCTCAGTTTGGTCCTCGCGAGGGGAAGAGCTGAGGCGAAGAAAGCGGTGCTTCCCTCTCGCGGAGGCTGAGAGCTGGGGAGGGGCGCCCTCAGCGTGTCCACGAGGCCGAACGACCAAGGTTTTCATCCCTCACCGGCGGCCGTAAATAAAATTAGGGGTACATAAATAATTTTGGGAAATTCAGAAGAAAAGCCCATTCGTTTCACTAGTGCTGACTGTGGCCTGCCCTACTCCAGTAGAAAAATTTACATCGAAGCAGAAAGGAGTGCCATGGCTCCACAAAGAGTAAGGGTGCAAATCTATGCAAGTTTAGACGGAAAGGAAAAAGCCTGCAAATACCAGCATGCCCCAGCATGCTACACTGGCTGGATCATACTGGGAGTTGTAGGACCTTTTTCTTACTGCCCAAACTTGGCATAGCACTGCATTTTTACAAGATGTATCGAACGAGATGTTTTGTGGTTTTACCCCACTGCAGAGGATGTCTTCCGTTGGTAGAAATGCAAGAAGCCATTTCATGGCCCAAGGCATCAGCGTTTTGCACCACACTCAAGGCATTTTGCCTTAGATCTTCCTCCACCCCACTTCTCACCAAAATAAAAGCCCTCTCTGAGAAAGGCATTTTGACATGCCCAGAGGGGTTGAAATCATGGCTATATAGGAAAACAATATAATGAGTGGGTCCAAAATTAAATACATGAAGTACATTTTATAACTGTTCTAGGTAAAGTCTTGTATCTGAAATAAACAGAGTCTTCTGTATTCATAAAAGTAATATGAATCACACTCTTTCTAACTCAGCTGTGGTAATTTAACCACTGGAATCAAACTTCATGAGACCCTGTAGTTCAAGAGTGTTTATGGAACTCTCTTAAATATCACGTAAACTCTAAGTGAGCCCTGGGACCGTAGTCTTCAGTATTCAACTGAATGTGCTGCTTCTTGCTATTAGGTTTGCCACCTTTAAAGATGGGTTTCCCTTTCTCAAAAAGAGAACACTATGCAAATATGTGGGTGATTCTAGTATTTGAAGCACCTACTAAAATGACATGGATTGGTCCTTAAGGAAAATGGGTGCTTTTTTACTTCCCCTTGTCATGCATCATACAGCATTGGCAACTCCAATGTAGACATAAATATTTGGGTGGACACAGAATATATTTTTACAAGCATCATCCTGTATTTTCAGAATTACTCTCTTACAGTTTTTCTAGAGTTTGCTAGATAATGAGTACCAGTGGCCTTTGACTGAGTACTTTCTATAAGATGGTGGTTAACGCTTCTCTGAGGGAGGGTCGGGTGCCTGCCCCTTTAAAGGAGGCGGTAGTCCGACCGGTCCTGAAGAAGGCGTCACTGGATCCAGGGATGGCCGCTAACTATAGACCAGTGGCCAACATCCCGTTTCTGGGCAAGGTGTTAGAGCGAGTGGTGGCGGGACAACTCCAAGCACTCTTGGATGAAACTGATTATCTGGACCCATTTCAGTCCGGCTTCAGACCCGGGTACGGTACTGAATCTGCCTTGGTCGCCCTGTACGATGACCTGTGCAGGGAGAAGGACAGGGGGAGTGCGTCCCTGTTGGTTCTCCTGGACCTCTCAGCGGCTTTCGATACCATCGACCATGGTATCCTTCTGGATAGGCTGGCGGGATTGGGGGTCGGAGGCACCGCTTTGCGGTGGTTCCGCTCCTATCTCAACGACCGATTCCAGAAGGTGGTGTTGGGGGACTATGGCTCTGCGCCATGGCAGCTTTGCCATGGGGTACCGCAGGGTTCCATTTTGTCCCCTTTACTGTTCAATATCTACATGAAACCGCTGGGAGAGGTCATCAGGAGGTGTGGGCTGCGGACCCATCAGTATGCTGATGATACCCAGCTCTACCTCTCGTTTTCCACCAATCCAGGTGAGGCAGTGGCTGTACTGAACCGGTGCCTGGCCGAGGTAATGGGCTGGATGAGGGCCAATAAACTGAAGCTCAATCCAGACAAGACGGAGGTCCTGTTGGTTGGCGGTTTGGGCTTCGGAGAAGGTGACCTGAACCTTGTCCTGAATGGGGTTGCACTCCCTCCTAGGGACAAGGTCCGCAGCTTGGGAGTGCTCCTCGACCCGGAGCTTTCACTTGAAGCTCAGGTGACAACAGCGGCGAGGAGCGCTTTCCTCCAGCTTCGGCTGATTCATCAGCTGCGCCCCTACCTGGAGTACGACTGCCTTGCAACAGTGACTCATGCGCTGGTGACTTCCCGTCTTGACTTCTGTAACGCGCTCTACGTGGGGCTACCCTTGAAGACGGTCCGGATACTTCAATTGGTTCAGAATAGAGCTGCCAGGCTGCTGACGGGGACTGGACGTTATGTTCACATGACGCCAGTTCTCCGTCAGCTTCACTGGCTCCCCATTGAAGTCCGGGCCCAATTCAAGGTGTTGGTAATGACCTATAAAGCCCTAAACGGCTTGGGTCCTGGTTACCTGAAGGAGCGCTTACATCCATATTTGCCCAGTCGCCCCCTGAGATCGGCGGGAGAGGCCCTTCTCCGGGAGCCCTCCGTGAGAGAAATTAGGAGGGTGGTTACTCGGAGAAGGGCTTTCTCAGCGGTGGCGCCTAAGTTATGGAATGCGCTCCCCAGAGAGGTCCGCCTGGCGCCGTCGTTATTTGTTTTTCGGCGCCAGGCTAAGACCTTTTTATTTAAGCAACATTTTAAATGCTAAATACAATTGAATTTTATCTGGCCAGGGCGGCTTATTTTATAATGTGAGTTTTAATCAAGATTATTTTATATGGATTTTAACTTGTTTTATCTATGTTGTAAGCCGCCCCGAGGCTTCGGCGAATGGGGCGGCATAAAAATGTTTTAATAAATAATAATAAATAAATAAAGATGCAGCACCTGTTCAGATTACAGCATTTTGGCAATATGTGGGTAGCCAGTGAAGTTTAACAACTACTGCAGTTTGCAGTTGCATAGCAAGCAGGTTACATGGGGAGATGGAGAGTGAGTTTCAGTGGTGTAGTGGTGTTGCTTTAAACAAGTTTTCTTCAAATGTGTTAAGCTGCAACTTCCAGCATTCCCAGCCAGGATGAACCACACTGGTTGGGAATAAGAGTTGTGATCCTGCAGCAATTTAGGAAAGATTTCAAATACTAGTAGTATCTATTTGCTTGCATGTTTCACTCTGCTCAGTGTGTAGTTTTGCAAGCGAAAACACGAGTAAAGAAATTGTAATTCTCCAGTTGTTTCCTTTAGCAGTGCAACAAAATTGAGCTGAGAAAGGCTGTCCTTGAACTTCCTGCTCCCTAGGGAAGCAGGGAACACAAAGTAGGGTTTCATCTCCATTGTGTACCTAGATGAGCAAGTTTATCTCCTCATTTGGAGGCAGGGCCAGCTTGAGGTTTTTGAGGGCCTTTAGGCAACACACACTTCATTGTCTCCTCCCTAAGCGTAGCTACCTTTTCACTATCACCATCTGCAGCTGCTACTGCTCCCCATCCCCTTCCTCATTATTGCTATCACTTGCATAATTCCCTGGTTGGACACTTTAAGAAACGAGACTTGACTGGATGCACCTTTAGTTTAATATAGTTTGACTCTTGTTTGCTCTTTTATAGCTTCACTGAGACAACTGACATCTACACTCATCCTTTTCACTATTAAAATCTGTAAGTGGCTGGGTATTTTGAAGATTTGGATCGGGCAATTGCAGATAACAGTCAGGTTGGGCAAGTGGTTCTGTTCCAAAAAAAATCTGGAAAAACCTGCACACTATCCAGTTGTCATCAAACTTGACAGTATTTTGTGGCTTCTGAGTTCTCATGGTGAAGAAAGAAATATAAATGGACATTTTCTCAGAGAGATCCTTCACATTTTATCTTTTTTCCTCATTATGAGCCCTGAATAGATAACATGTGAGAACTTGTTCTAAGATTCATTCTTATGCAAGTTTAGTCAGAAAAAGTCCTAAAATTTCCAGCATGATGGGAAATATGGGAGCTTGCTGGGGAATGACAGAGACCATAGGGCTTTTTTCTGTCTAACCCTAACATTCCTAATCTCATTTGTCTGCATAGTGATCCTATATAGTATATATTTGGTGCTTTCACATGACTCTGAAACCACCTTTAATTGGAACCTACCTTCATGCATATGTGAATATTGTTGCAATTTAGATACTGCTTAATATTAAAACTCTGCATGTAATTCACATGAAATATTAACCATCACATTTAACTAAAGCACTATAAAAAGAGTTTCGACTAAAACAACAAAACAAATATATTTAAGACAGCACTCTTAAAAACTGTTTAACAACTACAATAGCAATATCAAGTAATGTTAAAGAAGGCTATAAAATCTGGACTCTCCCACTCTAGAGCCATTCAAGATGCAGATGGACAGCCATTTGAGAGGCATGGTGTAACCTGAAGTTGTGTACTGAGCAGGGGGTTGGACACAATGGCCCTCTGGGCCCTTCCAACGCTACTCTTCTATGATTCTGTGAAATTAATTAATGTATTCCGGAAAGGTGGAACAAATGGTCTAGCCGTGAGGCAGGCAGTGTTTCTGAATTTTGGCAAGTGTGGCTTGTCATGTAAGAGTGAAAACAAAAGCGCTGGTTGGAATGCCGTCTTCTGCATGCTATTAAAAGGGAAGGAGTGCCACCTTTTCCTTCAGTCCCTATAGGAAGCACTGGTGCTCAGGGGCAGAACACATACTTTCCATGCATGAAATCCCAGTACAGCCCCCTAGTACCTGATGTGAAAGACCCTTCTGCCTAGAAGCTGAGCAGGAGATCCACTATCATTAACAGTAAAAGAAAATACTGGCCTAAATGGA